CCCGATGTGGGACTCGATCCCGGGACTCCAGGATCATGACCTGAGCTGAAGGCAGTCGCTTAACCAACTGAGCCACCCAGGCGCCCGACCTCCAGCCTCTTGACCAATTGTTAAGTGCATCCTACAGTCGTGGTAACTCTAGGTACAAGGTTATATAGCAGAGCTCTAGAACTTACCCATCTTGCTTCATGGAAACTTTCTGCCCATTGATTAATACTCCCCCCTTCCCCCCTCTCCCCAACCCCTGGCAACACCATTCCACTCTCTGGTTCCATGAATCCACCCTATGAGTGGAAGCAGGCAATGCTTGTCTTTCTGTGACTGGCTTATTTCACTTAGCATAATGGCCTCAAGATTCCTCCATGTTGTAGCCTGTCACAGGATTTCTTTCCTTTTTAAGGCTGAGTAATATTCCACGGAATGTATACACCACTGTTTCGTTATCCAGTCATCCACAGTGGACATTTAGGGTGTTTCACCCACTTTTTACATCTATGTACTTTGACAGTTTTCCTAACTATAGAAGACTGCATCTTTTAAATTCCAGCCCCTCTTCCCAGCATGGAAAAGTGTGGGGCAAACAGTTCTGGCCTGTCTGCATTTCAAGGGATGTTGCAAAGTCGGAGGGTAGGCATTTCCATGGAGAAGGGGGCTTTTGCAGCCATGGGAGTTTCTAACCGAGCAGAACAGAAGCGACCCTTCCTCACTGCCTTGTGAGTCCCAGAGCCCTGTGGAGCTTCCCTGTTCCCCAGCTCCTGGTGACAGAAGGGTGGCAGGGCCAGCTCGAGAGGATGGGATGGAGGGCTGCTCCCAACGTGGCCCTATCAGACCCAAGGGGTGCGAGGTTAACTGGCCCCTGGCGTAAGTAACAAATGGAAGGTGGCATCTTTAATTATTTCCTTCCCTTTCCAACTGTCTAATTGTTCGCCCCGTGAGAAATAAGCTAAATAATGAGGGGCACACCGAGGAGACAAAAGTCAGGCAATTATCCTCCTACCCAGAAGATAAAGGCTTTTTTCTTTTTTTTTTTTTGGCACTAGTTGGCAGAGTAAATAGCTGGTACCCATTTACCTTATGGTTTCCCCATAGTCGAGCCAGTCCATTGGGATCCACTATCCGGAATATTTTGGATTCTTTGTCCTCCCATCGGATGAAGTTTTCGTACCGGCTGTCAGAAAGCAACTGATAGACGTAATCCCAAAGCAGTCTACAGTCTAGAGAGGAAAAGGGCAAGAAAACACTTTTGAATAGGTTTCTTGTTGAGGCACTAAGAACAAGTAACAGAAAATAATCAAGTAGTCACTTCTGCCTCCTATGAACTGATGGTCTTTCTTATTTCGCAGTGAGGAGGCCAGGGCCCAGAGAGACCTGGCAGATGGTGCTGGAGAAAGGCGACCTTTGACCTGCGGAGGCCTTGGAGACCATCCCAGCCAACCGCCTCCCTCCACAGATGAGGACGCGGTGACCTGGAAGAGGAAGCAGCTTGTACAAGGTCATGACCAATGACTTGACCTTGAGCAGAGCTCACATGAAAGACAGAGAGCAAGCCAAAAGAGGGGGTAACACTAGGCTGGCGGGGTCAAAGGGCGGGAAGAGAGCCCCAGGGTTCCAGGCAAGCGGCATGGTCTGGTTGGGGGTACTGCAAGATGACTCTGGGGTTGGAGGCTGAACGGACAAAGACAAGAAGATCAGGGCAGGCTACCAAGTGGCAGAAAAAGAAGTGTGATGCGTGAAAGGCTGTGGGAAAGAAAACTCTGTGGTTTGCTGATTGGGAGCTGTGACTAGCGTGGTTTTCAAGAGGACAGATATTTTCTCATTACGCCCTATTTTGGAGTTCTTTAAAATTGTTTTCTCATAATGAAATCAGGGTAGAAAGGAACCCAAGTCAAAAAAGTCACTTTCCGGGCGCCTGGGTGGCTCAGTTGGTTAAGCGACTGCCTTCGGCTCAGGTCATGATCCTGGAGTCCCGGGATCGAGTCCCGCATCGGGCTCCCT